TAAAATGTTATTCTTATCCCAAATTATTTTCAAAACCTAACGACTAAACCCAATTACGGGATACTCTTGTCTAGTAGGATATTTCGAGAGATATTTGTTGAGCAATATAGACACCGAAAATCTTTTACCATTTTACGAAATACATTTGAACTTTTAATGTAACTTTTACTAGTCATATATTTTCATAGGACATCTCTATTTAGAATTCCTGGATCCGCCACTGTTCGTACCTGTGACATTTAGATTCAAAACTATCGGTAGTACCACTATACCAAGGTCTTATTCTCCAAAGCACCCATATTATAAATCATTGTAAAATTTCTCATTTTCTGCATGATTACTACAATGTATTTGATGTAATGGTATTTTCAATTGTAGAAGCTATGAGATCGTATATACAAATAAAATATCATCAAATACAAAGATTGATTTGTCTTGGTAGACATTGTGTACATTGGACACATATAACTCCTTATGAATAATGATCAATGTACCATGTTCAACTCTTGGCGTGCAGGAGTATTCAACGCTTGGGAGCATGCCCGTGCATTATTGAGCCACAATCTTACCAAAAAGATGGAATTGTGTATGATATATAAAATGCAATGAACAATAGTCGCGCGGCTCATAATTCAGGTCAATGTTCATGTATTTACTTTACATGGCCTCCCATTTTTATGTATTGTTGCCTAATCTCCAAACTTTTGTTTCCTTCACGCAAAAGAACTTCTACGATTTTAGGCTGACGACTTCTTTTTTCACCTTCCCTTCGTACTAGCAAATTACTAACTTTTTGTTTTTTACCGGTAGGCAGACAGTACTATATATATTCTTCTTCTTGTTGCGTGAACCACTAACTTATAATTACATGTCACCTCAGTGAATATATATTTAATTACATGAAGTCAAGTCAAACTAAAACCGCTGACTACCAAGTTTAACGAACCCCTCCTACTTCAATGGTATTTGAGACCACAGGGTAAATTATATTCCTACCTACCTAGATGTCGAGTAGTTTTAGTTCTGAGTTATCCTAACTTTCTACATTCTCACTTGCCTATTCTTGACGTCGTCGTATGCCAAGCAAAATTTTTATTTGAACAAAATTAAAATTTGTGTGTACAAGTTAACATTATATAATGTATCTTTTTATTTATGGTTCAAGATGGTTTTACCTTTAGTAGCGGAGCTACATAAATGACGTATTTAAGTTGGTTAACTTCCCAACTATAGTTGGAAAAAACCGTATAAGCAAGGGAAATAGAGTAGAGGTTAAGGGTATGTCCCATTTCCTCGAGTTAAATTTATGATTTTATCGTTACTGCTGATTCTCGCAATAAAATTAAAATCACACATGATCCATTGACGCAAATGAACTTGATGATGATAATAATAATAATAAGCTAAAAAATACAAATAGAACTGAAAGAGACGAGAAATCTGAATTAAACAAACGAAAAATGGGTTTGCCAGATAAATTTTTTTTTACAAATTAAACAACACTTCTCAAGTTCACACCCTCCTGCCAAATCATAAAATGAAGAGGGGAAAAAAAACTAGCTGCTGGGCCTGGACTGGACCGCAGACTCGGCGGGAAACTACACACTAGCACGGATCACTTACCTGCAGGCTGCAGTAGTCCGTTGGCAATGCTGATTCGAGCCTTAGTGGGCTTTGATAAATTGGATAATTGCGCCGACTAATTCCGTCATAGATGGGCCTTTTACAACTAGATTGAGTCCTTATATCACAGAATTTAATTTCTTGATTGGTATCCATCGTTCTTCATTGGGCTGGAGTCTGGACCGATACATGGAGGCCCATTAGACCATTATACCTTTACAAGGCCTCGCTCAACAGCATGTTGTCACGCGGGCCGGCGTGCCACCGGTTGTACCAGATTCAACCGATACCGGTCATAAAACCGGCATGATATTACCGGTATGACCGGTATGATCTAGAGGTGGCAAATGGATTGGATTGGTGGATTGGTGGATTGGATTGGTGAATCCATGGATCAAATGGATTGGATCTAATGGATTGGTGGATTCATGGATTGGATCAAGTGGATTGGTGGATTATCCATGAATCCAAATGACATCCTCAACCAAGGACCAATATGTAAAATGTAAAAAGTTTAGGTACTAAAATGTCACAATGAAAAATTTTAGGTACCAAAACGTAATTTTCCAATGATATTTTTCGTATAAAAAATAAAATTTTAGGTACCAAAATGTAAAAAATAAAAATTATAGGTACTAAACCGTAATTTGCCAATGATCCATGGATCCAATCCATGAATCCACCAATCCAATTGGATTTGGATCAAATGGATTGGATTTAAATGGATTGGATTAGATGGATATTTTTAATGGATTGATGGATTGGATTGGTGGATTGGATTGAAATTGCCACCTCTAGTATGATCGATATACGAATCTCTAAGTAAAATGACCTTATTTTAGTAAATTTAATTGATAAAAATTATTTTATTATTTATTTTATGAGTATAAAAGTTAAATATTGATGTTATTTGTTGGATTCAAGTATAAATGTTTAGGTATTGACGTTAAATGTCATGTTTAAATATGAGTATTTATAATTTTATTTGTAATATTGACCGGCATGAACCGGCACAAACCGGTATGTGCCACCGGTCGAACCATTCCTTCTTGCTAAACCGGCACACTGGCATAAACCGGTTTGACAACCTTGCTCAACAGTCAACACGGTGGAGGACGAACGGAAGAGGGCGAGGACGGACCAGCCGCGAGTCCGCTACACTGTGAAAATATTGTAGGGGGGAGATGACGATGAGAATGATGGATATTTTAGTACAACGAAGTACATTCAACGTCAAAACCGCTTGGAGTACGATATTTATAAAAATACACCAATTGTTGCCATATATATAAAATTTTATTGTATACTAGTAATTCTTATACTATCATATACTTTTAGTAGAAAAATCTATTGAGATTATGAATTAATCAAATTTTGGGTACAGTAATTTATCTCAAACCCTATTGAGTAAAATTTGGGTTATAATTTCTAAATCTGGTACCCCTAAGATCAATTTGTTGGAAACAATAATCGAGTGTTCTTATTCTTTGAAATACATCCAACATACTAAATTCGCCATCTTAGGGGGTTGAGGTGAGGTTTAGATAATTGGGACTAAGGATTGACTCATCAAGTGTTGAATTATACTTTCATAGCCCAAAACTTTGATTAATTTAAAGTTTAGATAGAATTTTCTTACATGATAATACAAATTTATCCCGGAGGGATAAAAACCAATATATATTCAAAATGTACAATTTGTTGGCTGGTGCATGCACACATAATTTCCAAGTGAAACAAAAGCACCGAATTTGACTTTCAAAGCAAAAAAAAAAAAGGCACCCGAGTCGAGTAAATACAAAAGTACCGGAAATTGCAAAAAATTGGATTTCGAATTCTTGGCTTATGGAGATGGAAAATTTGCAAGTGGTGCAAAAATGCAAAGATAAGAATAGAGTTTAGGTGGGTTGTAGTTTTTAGTTGTTGATGGGAAGGAAAGAGCATCCATGAAATGAATTGTTATTGGTCTGGCATGGCCACTGTCTCCATCGTTGTTGCTCTGGCCTGAATGATACCTTCTCCCCCTACACAAAATTCCCCTCCTTTGACTTGCTTCTTTCCTTCCATTCTTTTTCCTTTCAATCCCTTTCTCTCTTAAGTTACTCGTAGCTTTCTCTACACGTTTCATATCACCGGCTATCTACCTCAATTTACCTGAATATTTGACAAACTCATCAACGGAGAGATTCAATCCTACCGTCTGGTTAATAGTCATCAAAAAATATTTCTGTGAGACTTGAATAGGAAAACATCTCATTCCAGCCCAAGTCTTTAATTACCCACTAAACTTGTAGCTTAATCAAAGCTTTTGTTTTGCTTTGGAAGAGTAATATGCGGTGGTTATACGTACCTTATATCTAGTGATTAGATCGAATCCATCATTCCTAATTCCTTCTTAAGATCGTCCTTTTGTGTGTTTAATTAGGAACCGGAACCGGAAATTAAGAGCTGTTGTGTCCGGAACGAAGACCCACCTAACAGCCGCAACGCGTGAGTTCCACCGTCGTGTTTCTGCCTTTCTTGGGCAAGGGAAAGGAAGGTGGAGTGGGTGGCCTGTAATCACGACGCGTGTGAGGCATGCTAATGTGAACCCTGGAGCGACGTGGCCATTCAACACCATTGAAAGCTATGCTTGGCCGCAGAAATTTAATAAAACCTTCCATCTTTTCTCCCTTTCCCACTAAAATCGAACAAAGCTTAAGCCCTGGAAGGAAGTAGGCCGAATTCCACTTCGGTTCCCTTTTGAGTTTTGAGCATCTCGCCCTCAATTTGAACTCTCGCTCTCTCTTGTAAGTTCATCTTCTGCCTCGTCTTGTCTCCTGCGTGTGGTCTTTCAGAAAAGTTAGGTCCTTTTGAGTTATGATGTATGCTCTGTTTTGCTTCCCCGCACCTTTTTGATTGATTGCAGGCTGTTGCAGTTCCCATTTGGATGCCCAATTTCTGAAACCCGTCCTGTTCCTTTTGTGGGTTCTTCGGATTTTTGCTAATGTTGCGAGGTTTAAGGTTTATTAATGGAGTTAGGGGGCGAATTGGTTGAGCTTTTCTTTTGAGTTCTGAGCTGTGGCAGCAGAGGAAGCTTTTTAGCTACTGTCAGGAAAAGGGTTTCTGTTGGTTTTGGGAAAAGCTTCATGCTTTGCTGCATATTGATTTGTTTTTGAAATTTGTCGGAATGATCTGTTTGGCAGTTGGCATTCAATCACTTCGGATAAGGGATTCGGTGGAGAAGGAGTTGGTGTTTGATTTTGATTTTGATTTTGACCTGTTTTGTGGGGAGGGAAATCATTTGGTGTTGATGAGTAGTTGAGAATCAAATTCTGATGACTTGTAGTTGTAAATTTCTCATGGTCTGGTAAAAGGAAGGTAAAGAAGAAATAAAAATGCAAAGAGTTAGGCTGTCATCTCAACAGTCACCTGTGCATAAGTTAGGGGATTCACAAATGACACTATCCCCCAAATTCAGATTAGCAGTGATTCAGTCTTCATTGTTGAACCCTTCGCCGGAGTTCGAGTCGTCGCTCCAAATGGAGCCTCTTATACCTGGCCTTCCAGATGATGTTGCATTGAATTGCCTCCTCCGGCTCCCGGTGAAGAGTCACTCCACCTGTAGGGCTGTCTGCAAGCGATGGCATTTGCTTCTGGGGAGCAAAGAAAGGTTCTTTACTCGCAGAAAGGAATTAGGGTTCAAGGATCCATGGCTGTTTGTGTTTGCATTCCACAAGTGTACTGGAAAGATACAATGGCAGGTTCTTGATCTCACTCACTTGTCCTGGCACACCATCCCGGCAATGCCTTGTAAAGACAAGGTTTGCCCTCATGGATTTCGGTGTGTCTCCATGCCTCAAGAGGGCACCCTCATTGTCTGTGGGGGAATGGTCTCTGATGTCGATTGCCCACTTGATTTGGTTCTGAAGTACGAACTGCAGAAGAATCGTTGGACAGTGATGAACCGAATGATCGCTGCAAGGTCATTTTTCGCCAGCGGAGTGATCGACAATATGGTGTATGTAGCTGGGGGGAACAGCACTGATCTTTTCGAGCTCGACTCCGCAGAAGCTTTTGATCCTGCGAATGGGAAATGGCACGGCATTGCAAGCATGGGTACCAACATGGCGTCTTATGACACTGCAGTTCTCGGTGGCAAACTCCTGGTAACAGAAGGCTGGTTGTGGCCATTCTTCGTGTCCCCTAGAGGCCAGGTTTATGACCCGAGAACCGATCATTGGGAGAATATGGCTCCAGGGTTGAGGGAAGGTTGGACCGGTTCCAGTGTGGTGGTGCACGGTCGATTGTTTGTGGTGTCTGAGCTGGAGAGAATGAAGCTGAAAGTGTATGACGAGGAAACGGATTCATGGGAGGCGATAGATGGACCGGTGTTGCCAGAGCAGATATGCAAACCCTTTGCAGTGGGTGCTTGTGACTGCAAGATATACGTTGTGGGGCGGAATCTCGACGTGGCGGTGGGATATATAGCCAGGAAGGAGGAAGCGGAGGAGGCCAAGAAGAAGAAGGAGAGTTGTGAAAGGAAATGGAGATTCAGTGTGGAATGGGATGTGGTAGATTCCCCAGATGGGTTTTCAGACCTGACACCTTCAAGTTCGCAGGTGCTGTATGGATAGCACAATTTGGAAAAAAATTCAAGGGTGTTTTGTAAAGTTGTGTCTCGTAATAAGTTAGGTAATGGAAATTGTAAAACGTTGTGAGCTGTAGAGTGAGCAAGATTGGTTGGCGAGGGTTGGTGTTTGTAGAATAAATACTGTATCCAAGTTTGTATCAGTTCCTTCTGTGATTGTCATCTGTCGGTCGGATCCCCAATGCCTAGAACTGTAGATTGTTACAAAGGTTGAAACTTGTTGCCCATTTTTATGTTACTGGATCCAAATATCTCAGCATTTGTGTTGCCATTCTGTTCTTACTTGACGTCTTAACCCAGAAAGGAATCCCATGGTATCTTTATGGATCTCGCGTTACCTTTGCGTATGAAGTAGGGGATTGGATTCTGGAATGCGAGAAGTCCTGATTGTCTTGGGATTAGTCTCCATGGGTGATGACTGAGGGGTAACGTTGACCAAGGAAGAAAGTTGGTCCAGGGAAAAGCTACTTACTAATGGTACCTCTAATTAGTAATGACTTCTAATACACTCTTAAATCACTACGTCACTTCTAGTTGACTAATGATTAGGTGAGAAATACTGGTAGGAGTTGGTGAAAATGATAAATAGCGAGATTTATTATATGTAATAATCGTTATTCCTTAGTGAACCAGGTCGTTGTTGAGTGGTTGTATTATTGGGTTTCAACCTAGAGATTTGAGGGCAATCCTCCTTTCCCCACCTCTCAAGTAGCATCTGTAACACACAAATTTCGATGATAATAATAATAATAATAATAATAATAATAATAATAATAATAATAATTATCGTTATTTCTTATGCATATATGTATCATATTATATAACAACCTTACAAACGATTTATTATAATACTTCTATTTTCTTTTGTATTAGTTAACAAGTCGTTAAACATGCAAACTACTAGATTAGGGCCCGACCGATGGTCGGATTCCTTTGATCAATGACATAAGCAGTTATATAATTGTGTGAGGCATTATATCATAATATAATTTATGATATTATGATTCATCGACCATAATATAAGTAATCATTCTTTGATTCATCGATGAAAGTCCTTAACGAAATTTGAAAAAAACATATACATGGGAATCGATGTCTAAAAACTTTAGCAAACAACACTTTCCGTCGGGTTGACTTTAGTTGACTCTAGCGTGACAGATTTTTAAGTGAGTTGGATGATTTTTATTGATGTGGCAAAAAATCAAACGTTTGACCATGCCACATTGATATTATATAGTTTTATAAAATAAATTTTCTTTTCTGAAAAATAAATAAATTTAATTTAGATAAACAATAATAGGAGTAAGTAAAATTATAAAAAAATTCAAGTCACTTCAAAACACCCATCCTTCTTCTCTACCTCTCAATCCCCCTTTTCGTTGATCAAGCCCTTTTCCCAATCGTCCGTCGCCGATGTCGAGTAACTTCCCAACCATCTGTTATTTACCTTTGTTATTATTATTATTATTATGGGTAAGTATGTTTTCCTATATATTTTGTAATATTTGTATTGTAGCCATCAAGCATCTTTTTCACACCATAATCATGTATTATGTCAACCTGAATTTTTCATCAATTTTCTATAAATTGCGAAGATCCTCACTCTCATAAGATCCACTACCTCCAGCATTACCATACTCTTTCTTCTTTTTTACATTTTACTGAAATAAAAAATTTAATGGTAAAATATTTCCAAATATGTCATATAAGTAAAATATCTTCAAAACTATGTACTCAATTTTGTTGCCTAAATTGATGGGAGATATGGTGGCTGAGGTCTTCTCACCGCTTGAAATAGTTTTCGAGCAAACATTCCAAAAAATATAGTTTTCTCATTTTTGTGGTCCAAACCACAAAATTAGATTTAGCGTTTTTATCCATTATACAGAGTTGGATCTTGAATAAGTTAAACGATAACAAATGAGATTCACTGTTTAGTAAAAGAAAAAATTTATGTTTAATGAGTATGATGTTTTTTCTCTCGAATGAATGAATTTGAAGTTGAGAATAACTGAAGAGTATAGATTGATTATTACCTATATGTGTCTTCGTAATATTATTGTACAAAATATGCAACATAGATGGATTTTTAACTTTTGTAAAAGTAATCCTCAGAGTTTTTTATTCAATTTCGAGATAGGTTGCATATGCAACATATTTCTAACAATTCCTAAGTTTGATAACTTTATATATTGGACGGAACAAAATTTTGTACCACTCTGTTGAAACTTCTATTTTTAACTCAGATTTTGAATTTTTTTGCACATTGTGAATGAGATCATCGTGCTCCATTCTATTGTGATCTACACATTGGGGGGAGGGGGAATACAATGACCAAATATGCCTCCTTAAGAGTAAAAAGAATGTCACATTATACTATGGTAGACTGTTATTAAAGGTGGTAAATGACATTTTGATTATCATGTATACAACCATTCTAGTCTATAATATGTTCATACCAACATGATATGCTTCTATACAATCATGGTATAATGTTATGTACTATCAAGCATTACTATCATGGTATAGATTGACAATATATGTCTCAAAATTATTTTTGATAAAAAATATATCAAAATGGATGTAATTTTGAAGAACATAATTAATATGTTTTTCACGCAAAAGTTTGAACTATGAATTAAATTAAAGGAGATATAGCTTGTTAAAATTAAGTGGAAGAAAATTTATATGTCTCCCATGTACCGTTGATGAGGTTACTGATGACTAATGAGTATAAAAAATGAATTATTGACGAATCTACTCTCATGATAGCCCCTAATGTTTTGGAAATTGGAGATTAATATTTAAACTTTGCTTGCTTAAAAGGATTGCTACTATTTGAAGTTTTGGATTAAGTCTTAATAGTGAATAGAGAGCAGGGCCAAGGAATAAATAAATTGAGGCCAATCACATACGTACCGCATCAAGGAAGGGGAATTGCAAGCAAAAAATAATGTTTGGTTTGAAAAGACTGCAGAGCCCTTCCTAGAGTTGCGCAGGAAGCTCCAATTTTACAATTCTATATGTTATGCCTCGGAACTTCTATATAGTGTATTGGTAGGATTATCAACCTGACTTCTGGGTAGTGTAGTGATCCTAAGTTCCTAACAGTCTGTGACTCGACTAAATCCTGCCCGCCAAATTACTAAAGCTCGATCGTACTTTTGGACCTAATAATGATGTTATTGAGTTTTTTTAGGTTGTTTCTCGACACACATGAACGAACAATTTGTTGACAAAATGAGGTTTTATTTTACACGCCTTTCGTGGATTCATCAAGAGCGTGAAAAATGGCAACATTAGGTTGTATTGATGGGTGTAGAGAAGAGTGGGCCTTACCCTTCAATGCTTACGGGCCAGGTCAGGTCCAATCTAATAATTCAGCCCCCCCAGAAAAGAAAAAGGAGCAACGAGGCAGCTGTTAAGAAGCACAGTGGGCCCGACTTATGCCTTGTCTCAAATCGAGTCACAACCTCAGGCCCACTGTCCCATCTTGGAGTCGACTCCTCCATCAATGGAACTCATCAGCTCTACCGACAGAGTGGTCTGTGGGAAATCCAAGGGGAAGTAGCCAAAGGCGAAAGAAACGAATCGCCGGTTGGGTGGATCAAAGTTCAGAGGAAAATGGCAGCAGTGACGACTGCGTTGATAGCGATTGCAGGAGTGATTCTTGGGTGGATCACCATCGAAATCGCTTGCAAGCCTTGCCTCGAGAAGGGCCGCGAAGCCATCGACCGGTCTCTCAATCCCGATTACGATCCCGACGACGATGCTGTCTCCAGCAACATCCGGGTCCCTTTGAACCCGGACAACCCGCCCGATCTCAAGCCGATTTCCTCCTCTTCCACTGCCGCCAAGGTGATCTGACCGACCTCTGGATCGCTCATCGTGATGATCGATAGATAAAACTATGGCCCTTTTTTTCTATATGTGTTGGTTCCTTCTCTTCATGTTTTAGTTCTTTTCGTTTATCTTTTGTTTTTGCTCCGATTCTGAAGGCTTGTATGTGAAATGAATCAATGAGAATTCAACCCGGTTGTTATGACCCAGAGGTGCATCGACTGTAACTTTCTCTGTTTTTCATGGTCCATGAAACCGTACCGGCGGTTCAACCACAAAATATCAGCATCGGAGGTTAAACCGGTAGACGGTATTTAATGGTTGAACTATGGTTAAACCACGATTTTGTCATAAAATATCCTATCGCTGACTTTTCCGGTATGGTAACCACGTTGTTTTTACCATCCTTGGGACAATCAACTACAATGTCACAAATGAAAATTACAATTTACTTCTAGCTATACATCCCCATGAGAAACCTGGCCACGAGATACACTGTGCTGTGCCAAGCGCAGGCCGCGGTAACTAAAGTAGTTTGGGAGCTGGGTTTCATTTGTTGATTATCATCTAGACTCTGATTTCAATTTTCAAGCACGCAGAGATGTAAAGCTCCCCCGTGACTAATTACAGTACCTCACTGCCTCTTAACCGTTTAGTTCTGTCAGTTCTTGATTCATTTCACTTTAGCAACCAAAAACTAGCAATCTGGTTAGCGTTCTTATAGTTATAGGGGTTCCTGTAAGAAAAATGTCCTTACAGAACTCGTATAATCAACCATAGCCCATTCGTAACAATAGAGGCAACTGAGCCATCCTTCCTCTGTTCACCTCAAACAGCAAAATCTATCCCCTACTGCCATCCTCCATAATAACCCTTCTCTATCCCAGTTGGGAAAAGCTTCATTTTCGGCGTAGATGGACCAACCACCATGAGCTGCCTATGAAGGCCGTATACAGTAATAATGGGAGGTTCTATTCATTGCTGAAAGAGAAAGACCACAAGGAACGGGAGACGAGAAAGTTATAAAAAAAAAAAAAAGGATGAGCACCGGGAAAGAAGTATATTTTACAATTACAGGTGTTTACTGCAGCAGACGTGATATGAAAGAAGAAGAATCTGCTACAATTTTACTACTGTACAGTAATATCTGACTGCGACTTCAATGTCCCTCGAACGAAATTTCGTCCTGTCATTTACACCACCAGCAAAGAAAGAAAGATAAACGAAAGAAGAGAAAAGAAGATTGGGTATGGAGTGAATTAAGCAAAAAAAAGGCATGTTTAAGGTTAGGCGAGGTAATTGTATAATTGTGGATTGTTCTTGTCCCTCTCTAAGTACTCTCTGTCGATCAGGCTCTCTATTCTCTTCTTCAAATCCGCCGGCTTTATTGGGAACTTCAGCTGTTCCATAACAAAGCAGCAGCAGCAGCAGCAGCAGCAGCAGTAGACAACATGTTAATTACGAATCACCAACATGAACAGAACAAGAGAAAGTGAGACCATTTTTTAATGGGAAAGATCGAGAAATTACATACCTGCTGGAAAAGTTCGGTGATAAGGAGCGTGTGACTCAGCAACTTCCGAGTTTTCATTATCCGAACAATTGCAGCATCCACCTGGAGCAAGCAATTCCACAATGTTGGGTATAGGGTATCAATATAAGTTGCCCCATCTTGCTGAACAATGGAGAGGCAGCCTATGAGAAAGCCCAAGTGATGAATTTACCTGGTATTGACGATCCTGAAATACTCTCTCAGTGGTACTTGTGTTCTCCTCCACGGTTTCCTTCATTTGGATAGCATTGACCTGCAATCACCAACATTAACTCTCAGCTAAATGCTCTCACGCGCCAACCAATTTCAGCAGGAGGGTGGTAAAGCAAGCAGTTCTTGTTAGTCTTACCTTTATGCGGTAGAGTGGGGCAGTGAATGTATCATTGAACTCAAATGAATCACCGTCTTCAACATCCCTTCCTTTGGGAATCTGACAAAATGAAGGTCAGATTATTAAAAATCAATGTCAAAAGAAACAGCACTAACTATCTGGTGATGCAGAAGATAAGACCACCAGCACACCTTTTGCAGGACCCGAACTTTTCCACAAGCCAGGGATTGCAGGGTCCTCCTTAATTCCTTGTCCTCTATGCCGGTAGCATCTTTGATATCTTGGAAGCTCAACCTTTGTGCATCATTGAACAGCATCAAAACCACAGTCTGCACCTCCGAGCACAAAAAATATCAGTGTGAAATTATAGACCAGCTATAGCAACTAGGCAACTAGCCATCTGGTATAAACTTGAACATAAACAGTAAAACCAATCTGACCAGGACTGACCTGGAACAGAGATACTGCAAGCTCCTTTCTCCCCTTTGGAAACTCTGCTTTCAGTACACACTGTCCTAGGGAATTCTGCCACATTAATCGCCTTCCACTGTGTTTGCTCAGGTAAAATTCCTTGAAAATAACCTGTTCCAAGAAAGAAATATAAGCAGTCAAAAACCCAGTTCCGAGCATGAATATACACCTTCAATAATAAATGGTCAGGCAAGTGAAAGCATCAAACCTGGTAGTTATTCAGTTCCTGAGGAAGCCTGACATCCATTGGCGGGTACGTGGGCCAGTAACTGCACCAAAAAAATGTTTTGAACATTAGTAAATCAAGTAGAAAGAACTTTGCATAGGTTCCATGAAGACAAAATCCAACCTACCCAGTTGTTAAGACATGGACACTCATCTCAATTCCTGATGGAAGTTTTTCTCTTGCTTGAGACGACTGTTTTAAAGACTCCTTGGTTTCCTTAGATAGCTCATCCTGCAAAGTCGACATATTTCTTCCTTGATACGACTGTTTGAAAGATTCATTGATTTCCTTAGATAGCTCAATATCCTGCACAATCGACATAGAGATGATGATGCCATCAGGTTGTGATAATGTAGCAAAAACTACGATAACCCTTCATGGAAAAGGGAAAAAGAAAGCCAGATTCCACAATGGCAGCTTAATGCAATGAGTATACCTTGAACATCCCTTCAAGCTTGTTAGTGAATTGGCTGCCACACTCAGTTTTGAGCTGCACTAGTAAGTGAAGATTGTTAACATCAATGGAGAGTAGATATCGAATGAAATGCAGCCAGATACAAGAAATTGCATACCTTAGATATCATAGATTTCTCTGCATCAATGGAAGCACTTTTCCCCAACAATAGTCGTTTTGCAAGATCCTTCTTGTAAAATGCTTCAAAAACATCTTTGCCCTGGATAAACCTAAACAAAACTAAAACTTTATCAAGTGTACCCTCCAACTCATCTTCAGAAGTACCCTTGTTTCCAGCACGAAGTTTCTCATCCAAAAACTTAGCAATCAGCTCTGCTGGACGGTTCTGCAGGTAAGAAAATTGGATGGTTAGTCAGGAAACTGGAAGTACATCATGTTAAAACAAAAAAATGTACAAGCTAACCATATAACCAAACAGTAAAAAGTAGATAAACACAGAAAATCGATGACAATAGAACAGCAAGAAGTGGTGAAATATCTAACATGATCAAACACAAAGTAAAATCTCTTAACCTAGTTTGAAGACCAAAATTTCATCCATAAATAATTACTGTATCCATGTGAATAAGGAAACAAGAAGGACACACCAACCTGGCGAAGATTAATCAGATGCTCAAATGAATCCTTGATGGTATTGCAAAATGCTTCATTCTTGGCAAAGCTTTCTGCCAATATTGAGTCCAGAGAAGCCTTAAATTCTAATAAAGATGGAACCATATCCTTGTCCTTCTCTTCGTCCATAACAATGGCCTGCCCAGTTCTCCTAACATATGAACTAAGGGCCTGCTTTAATGATTCAAGGGCATTGACCCTCAAGAACAAGGAGTACATCCTCTGGAGGTCTTCAATTCTATGCCCATCCATCAGTACCATGAAACCCTGCCAAATGGCAAAATATTCATTACTGACAGCACAAAGACACCCAGCACATATTACTAAGATAAAAATTCAAATATAGCAGCACCTTATCAAGAATCGCGGATATATGCCGCTCAAGAAGCTGCCTCTCTGTGGTTGCTATTAGCGGCTTCCTAGTGCTTGCGTCAAGGTAAAGTAAGCATCTGTCATGCTCCTCATGCAACCTTATCTGCAGGAATCCACAGCTTATAAGTTATAATGAACCTGCTGAACAGCCCAAAGCCCACCACTAACACACCTGGATATTAAAAAAAAAAAAAACAGAAGTACCTCGACATGCTTCAAGTAATCTGGAACGTCCGATTGCTGCATGTACTTCATGCCTTCAGTAGCATAAAATTCAGATGTGCATTCAAGGAATGGTCTCTCAAAGCTCTCTGGATAAATTCCGAGAGCCGTAAACATCTTCAGAAGATGGTTCAGTAGTGTCCTATCAACTGCTTCACCTAATCTGACAGCCACAAACAGATGCGTAAGCTTGAATTCTAAAGGCAAAGAAAAACCCAGATCTAACAAAGCTAACAGAGCCATATCCACTCCATAGACTTAACAATGAAGCAGCTTCAATATTTGACAAAGCATCATGATCCAATATCTTGACTCCTGAGTCCTGATTGTCCAAAAATCAAGATTCCCAACTACAGGTGTAAGACCAATACTTCAACCACTTTGAAAATTCATCAAAGCAAGCAGTACCAAATCACTAGTACTAATTAAAAATAAAAACTTTCACGACATTTTATTGAAACAACCATAGATCTGCAATCAAGGGTTATCTAATCCAGAGGGGGAAACATGGCAAATGAGAAGGGACACACAACACATACATAACCAGCTAACACTCAACTATCTAAGTTGACAACTGGTAATCTAAAAACAAATGCAAAAGCAAAACAAGAAGTACCTTTCTCTTTGAATCATCTGCAGAAGGCCATTTACTGTCTTATTCTCAACTTCAGGAGATGATGAAAGATGTCGTCGGAAAAGCTGCAATCCCATATCCCAAAGAGACCGCACATTGGGGGTTTGTTTAACATATGTTCTATCTAGATACAATGCAATCCCCCTAATCATCAGCATCTGGTCACAGAAGTCCTGCCAGCATCTCTCAACGAGTGATAAGAAAACTAGCAAATCTGGGCTTTGGCCAACCAAGGATTGTAGGGCTGCAGAAATGTGAGTCTCGCACTCATTTTCAATACGCTGATATAAACTTCCCCCCATCTTGTGCAGGCAAAGATCATTGACAGCCTGCAAATCAAGACATCAATTTAACATTAACCAAAAGAAGGTAATCAATAGACAACTTGTATGTTCATTAACAAAATAAGAAGAATGTTGGATCCTGCACCTGATAAAGGTTCTCCAGTTCACAAGAAGCTGGTTGCTTTAAGAATATAGCTTTAATTGCTGACTGCAGCTTCGCCCATGTATTCTCCTCGAAGTTTGAAGGCAGTGTGGGTTTAGCTTCATTTGGCGATAAAGTACAAAATTCAATGAGATATGATTTAGGAGGAAAAGGCTGTCTGCCAAGTGATTTGTATTGTAGACTGTACAGCCATGAGAAACTTCCATAGAAAATAAACTTGGACAAAAAGACAACTAACAGAGCTAGAAGTTGCCACTTGCCACCAAGATGTGTAGGCCTGTGCTGTTGGTAATACACCGCCTCAATGTGCATAAAACATAGCAATCAAGACTAAGGGGACAACCCATTTCTAAGCCACTCATGCAACTGTGAGCTAATACCAGCTATAAATGAAGTGAATACATGAAAAATCTGACATGGGCAGAGAAACATAATCCCAAGCTAGGTAAGCCATTTCCATATTTAATCACATCAATGAACTATCAACTATGCCAATGCCAGGGTCTATAACAAAAACCTAAGTATATGACAAACGGAACCCCTGTTCAAGGATGTGTAACCCTCCTATTGCCATCTCATGCATGACAAATAAAAAAAACTAATAGCTGACTGTCCCAAATGACACGAAATTGCACAATTTAACAAAACACTAACTGAACCGAAGTTTAGACTACGCTGAATTAACAGAGCAACAAGCCCAAATGAACGAACACGAGCCAATGAATGTCTTGACAGTGTCGGTAAAGAGGGAAACTGCTGCCAGCACGGATCCATAGAAGAAAGCAAAGATCAGCGCTTCAGCATTTTATCAAGGTCAATTCCCGAGTCCAAGCTTAATCAATCAGCTAGTCGAACTATCTCTCTAATGGGATTATCAAAAACCCCTTGATTAATTTTGACAGCGAAAGAAGGGATCATCCCATTCTCGGCCTCAAATTGCGACGAGAAGAAAGTGCGGGGGAGCGAATTGGTACCTTTAAGGAGCTTGATGACAAGCTTCTTGGCCGGTTGGGGAAGGATGGCCTTTTTGCGAGACAAATTAGCTGCGGCGGGAGGAGCGGCATCGACGAGCTTAGGATCGTCGTCGAGGGCCATGGAGGAAGGCTCGAAGAGGACATCGTTATCGGCGGAATTAGGAGCGCTGAAATGGTGGTGGAGACCGTTCTTGTTGGAGGAGGGGTCGAGAGGAGAGCAGGCGGAGAGGGCCTGAGACTTGGCCTTCTTCATCGGCGGGAAACTAGAGGAGGAGCCGGCGGCGGTGGAGGAAGACGGGGTGGCAGCAGCAGTGGCAGAGCGTTTGGTGGGGAGAGACATTAACAAAAACAAAAAAAAGTGACCTCTCAGTAAGGCATTGTAAGAGTTTTTAGAAAAAATAATCCAAAGGATAACTGAAAAGGTTTTTTAAAAAATATAAAGGAAGACGGACGCTGGCTATATGGCTAAAATGAAGAGAAAAGAGTATTGGGCCGAGACTCAGCCACTCCTGGGTCCGTTTCGTCGGTTTCCATGAGGCCCATGCAGTCCGCGGCATACAGTGGTTCGCCTAGCGACCGACCTTATAAATGGAAGGGTGCGACGATCAGCTCAATACTTTCGACAACCCGGTAAGAGCACCATAGAGACCCAGAGGTTAGCGACTGCAACTAGCGTTGGTACGAGGGGAGAGGTTGAGTTCTACACCGATCTCTTCACATTGCCGGCGTCGGACAGAACCGGTCGCATGACCAAAATCGGAGACTTAGCTTCCCTTTCCGGCGAATAGAAGGTATGCTTGCCCCTTCCGCGGTTGCAAAGCCCGCAGCTTTGGTGGTTTTTCTCATTCTGGTTGGCAGCCGTATCCGGAGACTAGGGGTGGGCATACCGAACCGCACTGGACCGAATCGATGTTTTTACCAAATCACATTGAATCGAATATGATATAGTTCAGTCCTAGGTCCCATTAATTTGATAAATACTGAAGAAAATGGACTAAATTGACATTTGGACCGGACCAAAGAGGACCGAATGCATTATTGGTCTGGTCTTTGGTCCTAAGATATCATTCACTAATGGACCGCGATTCTACTGAGTTTGTTCCGATTCGGTGAGGACCAGACCGATGCCAACCACTACCGGAGACTCCTTAACCCTTATTTTATTTGTTCTAATTGTAGACTCTTAGTAGCTTATGTTACAGGGGTGGCCATTCGGTCGGTTCGGGTCAAACCGCACCGAACATAATACTACCGGGGTCCTAATTTAATCCTTAAGGCAAACTGAATTCGAACTGAATCATAATTCAATTCGGTCTGTCCAAATCGAATTATAACTTGGATCGGTCCGGGTTTTCCCCCAAAACCGAAAATTGATAGTTGACTGCGTTTTCTCCGACTCCTGTGTTTTGGTGTTGCTGCTAGGAAAAACGGATGGAGGCCTTATTTTCAATCTATCTTCTCATTTCTCCACTCTTCAAATACTAACCCCCCCCCCCCCCTCCAACCAACAAACGAGGCGGCGACCGGCAAGACAACGCAGAGCTTAGGGATGGCAAAAATATCTGTAACCGTGGATATCCACCCGAATCCGGCCTAATCGGGTAGGGTAAAACCCGAACCCGAAGGACATTTAGTGGGTACGGGTAAAACCCGAACCCGAATATTGCGGGTAATGGGTGGGCATGGGTTTCTAACTATCCAACCCGTACCCGCCCGATTATACGCATGCATGTGTATTTTCTCTAGAAATAATTATTATTTTTCTCTAACATATTTTATATTCAGCATATAAATATAATATTTTCATGAAATTGTGTTGTTTTAGTTAATTTTCTTCATTCTAGTGAACTATTGTCGTATTTTTCCTCTTACGTAATGTGAGAATACGTGTGAATGTTAACATATTAGTTGGAGTTATGAAGATAAATTATTATCCATGGATAACCGTGGATACCCGAAACCCGAACGGGTATGGACATGGTTTTAATTTTCTACCCGTTTCACATGTGGGTATGGGTATGGGTAAAACCCGAACTACTTTGGATAGGGTAACGGATATGCACTATCCGTCCCCGACCCGACCCATTGCCATCCCTAGCAGAGCTCGAAGTAGAGTAGAAAGCAGTTGCCTCTAGGTAAAGATCTCTCCTCCATCTCTAGTTCCAAAGCGACGCGGATCTTTAAGGGTTCAAAGAAGAAGAAAGGAAATCAACGAACGACAGGCGGCAACGGCGATTGACGACAATGATGCTGACGACTTCGACGACAAAGTTTCGTTTGGCTTCAAATCCAAGCATGCATAATATTTTTTGGGTTTGTATTCTCCTTCGAGCTTCATTAGTATCGTCTCTGTTTTTTATTTAGGTGGAGAAGAAACTAGCTACGGCAGGGAAGAGAAAGCGGCAAAGAAAGAAAGAAAGGTTGATGGCGAAGGTGCCGGCAAGGGTGGAAGAGAAGACGGCGGAGGTTATGGCTTGATGGCATCGCTCGTCGCCGATGAGGCAGGGGAAGGAGGGTAATGGCGGGCGACGGCGACTGTGTGGTGGGACAAGATGGGCTAATGGGGGTTTGGGACTGGGCTAAGGTTTGTGGGATAGACCGAGGGGTTGGGACTGGGCTAGGGTTTCAATAGGAAAAGGGGCTTGTGGGCATGGGTCTTGGGGTTTATGACATAATGTATATTGTTGGGCCATATTTCGAGTTTTCGGTTCAGAATTCGGAACTTCGGTTCAGCTAAGAGAACCCTGATTTCCGAATTACGAACTGAATAACAAAAAATCAGTTTAAGTTCGGTTTAGTTCGGTTTGGGTTTACCGAACCGGATGCCCACCCCTAGCTTATGATGACTTATGGTATATAAATACATGTACGCCTATGGCCGAACACAAGAAACAAAAAACAACATGTTTTCCTGTGGACGTAAGTCGAACACATTGTGAGGAAGAACCGCACTATAAGGTACAGCTTTATTGTCCTCTTTCACCATCAATCACGAGTCTCAAAGACGAGAATGTCTCATCTGGTTTCACTTTCGTCAAGTCCTAAGAATGTTTTCCTTCTATTTATCTATTATCGAACTCGGATAACATGTTTGTTGGAGGTAGGGGCGGACCCAGAGGAGTTTGGGTGTGTCTTGGGACACCCCTAAATTTTGGGAAAACGAATATCCACACTCGGTGGTAATTTATCGTATGAATACAAAAATTATAATTGATAGTGCGGGGGACACCCCTGAAATTTGAAAAGTGATTTTCCTACTCTCATTTTTTTTAGTTTGTGTATGTGAATATAATCGGTAGTCTAGGTAATTCAAACCTAGGACACTACTAATATTAATAAACATTATTTTCATTAGGCTACAACTCATTTGTTGTTCAATTTTAAACATTGTGTAATAGTAAATTGTCATTCCCTATCTCTAATTATTCTTCAAAACCTAACAACTAAACTAATTTCAAGCGACTCTTAATTTGTATTGGTTTCATGATTGTACGGTAAGTGTTGAAAGAGTCTTTTCGGCTTTAGGTTACATCAATAACAACTTTAAAAATCAAATATGCGATAAGTTCGTGAATGATTGTCTAGTAGGATATACAGTGACAATTTTTTGAGCAATGTAGACACCAAGTGTATTCTACAATTATTTCCGAATATGAAAACAAATCGTGAAATTTTTAAAATTTCGTACGAATAAGGTATTTTCTAATTTAAGAAATGTTTAATTTTTTAATATTTAATTTATTTTTTAAAAGAGGACACCCCTATCTAAACTTTGTGAGTCCGCCAATGGTTGGAGGTGTTTTAACGTCGTCAAGTTATGGAGAATGGGTTCTTGACATGAAGAATATCCTCATCGCCAAGAACCAGTTTGGGTTTGTAGATGCTAGTCTTTCCAAGCATAATACTCCGACGGAGAAGGATGCTTGGATCCGATGCGACGTCATGGTAAAATGTTGGTTGAAGACCTCCATGAATAAGGGAATTCATAACAGTATTCACTTTCTCGAGGGTGCTATTGATATCTGGGTCTATCTCCATCAGCCCTTCGGTCAAGGAAGCACTTCACGGAAGTACGAACTCCGGAGGGCGATGAACAGTTTAGTTGACTCAGTTTACTTAACTAAATAGTTAAAACTTACAAATTCGAACGTGTTTGACTAAGTTTGACCATATTCAATTTAAATATAGGCACGAGAACCCCCTAAGGAGAACTAGTTACGAGTTGACTTTCGAGGTCGTTCGACCAATAATTATATGTTGTTGTTATAATTAATTATTATTTGAGCATTATTATAAAATAATTATTTGGACTTTGCTACGGTGACCGAATGTGCTGTTTCAGTTATGTGAGGTTCAGCGACGCGGTCGACCGTCTATCTAAAATGGTCGACCTCTTTGGGGTTCGAACAGAATTAAAGGTCGACCCAAATACCTCATAGGCCGACCCTTTTGCACCTAATAGGTCGACCGCATTCGTACGAGGTCGACCGCATGCACACCGTATCCGTATTGGATAAGGATTCCAACACCAGAAAGGTTCCACAATTGACAAGAAAACGAATTGGGTCGACCCATTCACATCCTAAAGTTCTATAAATACGAATATAAGTCCCCTTCAACGCCACCAAAACTCTGAATTAGGTTTTTTCCGATTTAGAGCCTTTGTGAAGAAGATCGTTCGCGGTTGTTGTTTTATGTGTTGAAAGTGGTCGACCACGTCGAAGGTGAGGTCGACCTAATGTAGCATTCGTCGTCATCTTCTCTAATGCGTGATTTCCACCGTCTAATTTGATATATTGTTGCGTGCAGAATACCATTCTGACGACCCTTATCTCAATCAGGTCGACCTGACTAGACAATTGTTCGGAATTGAATTTAGGGCACAACACTTGGACTTCCGTACTTGCGAGGTAACGAAGATCAACCCAATAGGTCGACCTAACGTGTTTCAAAGTCGACCGTTTCTGTTTGTTTTGGTTGTTCAACCTCAATGTCGACTTTGGCTTTGTTTGTAAGACTATGTTGTGCTTTAAAATGTCGGCCGCTCAAGCTATCTGGTCGACCTATCCGTTTTTTTGTTTCGTTTAATATTACACTTGCATTTGTTGGTGAATTGTTAATTTCCTGCTGGATAGGTCGACCTAGGAAGAGCAGAGGTCAACCTTAAAAGTTCTGGTAGTCACAATTTGTATTCAAGGTCGACCTAATAATTTGTCAGGTCGACCACGTCTATGTTTTTGGTCAATTGTAGAAATTTGAAGTTGAATTATGATTTGAATTTTTCTTTAAATTGTTTAGACGATGACGCATGATGAGAGACTGCATCACGATTTGGGTGAAATCATGAAAGTGTTGAAAGCCACACAAGAGCAGCTGGTGGTGTGTCAAAAACAAGTCAATGACTATCAGAAGTCCATTCGTGATAGATTGGAGCAATTGTCAGTTCGATTGACAGA